AAGTTATATAAAAAAAAACATAGAATTATCTTGAACTAATAATGATATATTATCAATTAATAAAACATGTTCTTTATTTGCTATTTCAACTATTGCATCAATACATTTTTGTTGAGTAGCAAATCTTGAATTCTCTACTCAATAAGAACTTTATTATTACTATACAGCCCATTATACAAATCCTGAATATTGATCATATTATTTTGAGTTCTTTGTAATTGAATTTTCAATTCTTCGATCTCATTTTTTTAATTCTCTATATATTGCTACATCTGTACAATTTGATTATTAAATTTGATTACTAACTAAGACTTTTCTTCCAAAAGCTGTCTAGCTTCACTAAGCTCAATTGTTGAATCTACAGGAACAACTAGATTATCCTCTTCAAGCTGAGTTCTTTTGCTTTCTTGGGTAAAACCTACAAGACGCTCATAAAATCGGTTAGTTGAGAGAATTTGAGTATAATATGATGAACAAAGAGAGTAAGAATCTAAAAATAAACTAGCAAGTTCAGAAATGTAATCATAATAAAATGCAAGTTTCCCAGCTATTGTAGGACCTTTTGCATCCCGCTATTTCTGTGACTCGTTCATTCCACAAGCTCTTAAACCAAATCATTTATATGTTCCAACTAAGCCTTCAAATAAGTATTTTCAAACCTTCTCTGTTTCGCCTTGTTGATTAGACACTAAATAAAGGTTGTTTTAAGACACTGTTTTAATAAAAAAGTTAAACCTTTTTACTTAATAATCTAAAAGAAGCTCTTATTTTAAGCTCTCATTTACTTTTTTTAAAACGGGTTATTGTGAGGGATCAAATGGGATCAATTAAAATTAGCGGTTTATAATAGATATTCATATATCGTTTGATATCGAATGAATAGTGACAACTGGTTACAGCGGCGAGTCAGTCGCTCAACAATTCAATTCCTTGCGTAACCTACGGCTGGCTTAGTCGAAAAGAGGCGTTTAGATTTGGTCGGTGGTTTGGGTTCCGTAGGT